AGACATAAAGGACATCTAAGGTTTTTTGGACATTCCCAATCCAATTTCATTTCTAGGCATTCCCTATTGCTGATCATGGGAATCTTAATACCTCCTTGCCATACATGGGAACCTTTTCATATAAGGGACTGAGGAATGTTACATTCTGTGATCACCTTCCATGGTGATAAGATGGAAGGACAAAAAGAAGAGCAAGCAGAGTTCCAGGCACTACAGCTTAGAGATTACTTAAATGGGAATCATATGGATGAACTCTGGGGCATCTTCCACTAATCTGTTCATGATTGGTTAGTGTCTCAATACCAATAAGATCCTATGAAATATTAAGCCTGTGAGAAAAAGAAAATCATGACATGGCAATCCCAAACTATCATCCATACCCTCTCACATACCCTGCAGCCAGATGTACACAAATGCTACCTTGACCTAAGTCTTCAAAGTTTCCTACTGTGTGCCCTGGATTAGGCACCAAACACTTCAGTGTACTATTTGGACTTTCAGCTAAATGATTTCTCACATTCCCCACACTTCTAAGACCATAATCCAATGTGCATTATATAGTGCCAATCAAGTATGAAGTTTTGCCTGGAAATTATTCTACATTAACTGCACAGAAGACTCTTTTCCTTCCTCATATGGACTCTGCTATGTTGAATACAATCGGCTTTTGGCTAAAGGGTTTCTTCCAGGTGTAGCTAGAGTTTTCCTGCCTCCCCCCGCACCCCGGTCAGGACAAATCTCTCTCACCCGCCAGTCCCACAGCCGCTCAGACCCAACCAAGTAAACACAGAGACTTATATTGGTTACAAACTGTATGGCCGTGGCAGGCTTCTAGCTAACTATTCTTACAGCTTAATTTAATCCATTTCTATAAATCTATACCTTGCCACATGGCTCGTGGCTTACCGGCATCTTTACATGCTATTTGTCATGGTGGCGGCTGGCAGTGTCTCTCTGACTCAGCCTTCCACTTCCCAGCTTTATTCTCCTCCTTGTCCCGCCTATACTTCCTGCCTGGCCACTGGCCAATCAGTGATTTATTTATTGACCAATCAGCAACACACTTGACATACAGACCATCCCACAGCATCCAGGCACTACATCTAGGAAACCTTTATGTAAGGCCTTTAAATAGTTGACCATACCCACTGCCTTTAAATGCATTCTTCCAGTGTGTATTCTCCAGAGCTGCACAAGTAACGATTTACTAAAGATTTAGCCATGGTCACACTTACAGCTCTTGTTCCCAATGGGAAAGACCTCTCCACTCTCAATGCTCCTGGGTGGCTTCCCACCACTGTGAGTCACACTGATGCCTGATAAAATCTGAGCTAGTCTGGAAGTCCATGCCATCCTTCCTGCGCTGGAAACTCTTCTCAGACATGTGGTTGCTGCTTTTCATAATTGGGTATTCCTCATTATTATAGGGGGTCCCAGCCACATTTCAGCTGCCCATGCATGTTGCACTGAGTTCCCTTTCTGTAGAAATACTCTGCTCAAAATGAATTTTTTTTTCAGCGTTAGCTCCAGTCCAAGAACCTGAACATAGGGACATCTGATGAGTGCACGTCGACCATGGAGAGACAGACAGCAGACAATAAGGAGAATAATGAGAACGAAGGTGCTGGCAGCACACAGGAGCTATTAAAGGTGGGAAGGGCCAAGTACAGTGCTGAGACTGTCAAGATCATTGGTCCAGGGGTGACATGGGTACCAACAATATAAGCATGGTGTGCAACACAAGGAGGGCTCTCAGGGCCTCAAACACACTCCTTAGTAGAAAGCTTTCTGTAGAGATCAGCTGCTGGAGACACAGAACACAGTATACAATGGTATATCAAGGCCCACAAACCTTGCTGGCTTAAGAACCTACATTCAACTGGGCATGGTCGTGCATGCCTTTAGTCCCAACAGTTGAGAGTCAGAGGAAGGCAGATCTCTGAGTTTGCTGAGTTTGAGACAGCCTGGTCTACAGAATGAGTTCCAGGACAGGCAGAGCTACACAGAGAAACAAACAAAACAAAACAAACAAACAAACAAACAAACAAAAAAGAACCTACATCCAGCCTTCCATGATGGCATACTTTGAAGGCAGAAGTGGGCAGATTTCTGTGAGTTGGAGGTCAACCTGGCCAATATGGAGATTTCTAGGATGACTGTCAGAGCTACAGAGTGAGACTCAGTCCCAGAAATATACAAAAACAGAGGAAACTTTATGCTAAGACGAATGAGGGAAATGACACACAGCTAACAACACAATGCAGGTAAGCCACTGCCCACAGTGCTTTACGGGTCTAGGCCAAACACATATGGATAACTTCTAGTAGAGACAAAAAAAATTGGAGAGAACAAATAGGCAACAGAGAAGATAGACATCTGTCAAGAGCCTTTGGCTTGGTACCAAAACATTATATTCAATAGATAATCTTCATTTCAACCTATTCCACAATTCACACGTCACCCAGTTCCACCATCCAACTACCTGTCCACACTGCGTGAGTCATGATTCTCAGTTCAGGCATGAAGGAGTTTTCCCACAATCCTACTTGAGTGATTCCATAGGTTCCATGTAATACAAAACCAAATGGAAAGAGAGGAGACATGAAAGCCCATACTAGTTGCTTCCACTGAAAAGATAAGTAGTCATGGATTCTCTACCAGGGTGGGAATCTTTTACCCAAAAAGCTTGAGAGTACGAACTTCTCTAGCATCACATTGCAGTTCAGAAATTGCCTCTTGGAATGAAACTGTCCATTCTTCCCTCAAGAAGTAAACAGTCATATCCTCAAAAGCCATATAACCCTGTAAAAACAGGAAGTGTTGAGTTTGTAAAAAGCCCTTTCCCCTGGGATTCTGGCCATTCCCAAGATAGCCACTGCAATTTATCTCCCTACCTCAGAGGGTACCAGGTCCTGGGACCACTGGAACCCAGTCTCTCCTCAAGGTTCTTTGGATCCCTGCTTTCAGCACTCAGCAACAGAGGTCACATAGATAGATGGAGTCCATCCAAGCTTGACATTTGACAAAGAACATTCTCTCAATTAGAAAAATCACATGGGGTCCTCTAGATCATGCTTTCCAAATATGACTGTGTTGGGTTACAGCTATGCATTCTGGCTGTGGAGGTCATGTACACATTCTCTCTCTCTCTCTCTCTCTCTCTCTCTCTCTCTCTCTCTCTCTCTCTCTCTCAATTGTGTGCATTGCATTGCATCTCTAGTTCTGTTTCCACCTCAGTATACAAGGTCCAGCTGCTCAGGTTACTGTTCAAATCCTAACCCCTGCTTTCCAGAACTTCCAGACATAGTAGATAGCTAAGGCTTTCTGAGCATTCCCAATCAATCTCACTTGCAGGCATTCCCTAATGTTAATCATTGGAACCTTAATACCTTCAAATCTTATACCAGTGCCATCAATGAAAATCTTTCCATATCATCCCTGCTGTGGGAGTGGAGTTTACATACAGGTCACAGTGGTCCTCCCTGGAACATTTGCAATTTTCCCAGTCACAGTTGAGCACATCTCTTAATAGAAATCTCTTTACATTGTTATATTGTTTCAGGGGTGATTGAGTAGTGGCTGAGTCAGATTGCCCTTGGAACTAGATTTTTAGTTTCTCATTTCCTGGTGCTTGAAGTTTCTCCTTTCCTGAGGCTTGGGGGTGTAAGCCTGAAGGGCTAGGGTCTTTCATTAAGAGTATATTATAATAGCAGATGAGAGATGCTCATGTTGATGCTATCTCCTGATATTATTCAAATTCTCCTTCAGATAGAGATGATAGATAGATAGATAGATAGATAGATAGATAGATAGATAGATAGATAGAGGGAGAGAGCTGCACACACAGAGCTTGATTGATTGATTGATTGATTATACAAGCATACCAGTGCATATCTGTAGTTTTACTGTCCTCCTTGAAGAATTTATCTTTTTCTAAATTGGTTTTCAGGCCAAAACATGACCTTATTTTGTTTTATTTTACTTTTGGCCTTATAGCTTTAAAATTTTCAATTTAATTTTAACATGACTTAAGTAATCTATAATGCTTAAACCTGCATCAAGCCAAAACTGTGATATAAGGAAATTTCTTAAATTTTCACCATGGTCCTTCTAAATAGTCAAGTTTCTGGTGCTAAGTGCATATTCTTCTATTTTCCTAAAAATTAACAAATTTTGATTCTGTGAATAATGGATTTTCACTTAAAATATAGATTGGAGGAAACTCCACAAAGTATTTTCTTCCATAGTGTAGTGTGTGCATTAATGAAAACTAACAAACAACTCAAACATGGAAATTGTTGGAGCATTGAAAAGTATCATGAGCGAAGTCAATTAAGAAGTAGACAAAATCTGCTAAGTTTAGTAAATTATCTTAACACATGGTGAAAGTTAAAGACCATCTAAGACTATAACAAATATGGTATCTTGAAAGTCTGAAGCTGCTAGAGTTGGAGAAGTTACAGCTTGTGTGGTAATCTAAAAGAAGAGGTGGCCTGGACACCAAATAGTAAAGGGTTTAGCCCACAATGACCTGGAGCAGTGGACTGATGTTTCAGTTGTATGCATCTTTATATTTCAGCAGGACTCATTTCAGGAGAAGGCACCTCTGTGCATCCATCCAGCCTTTCTTGCAAGCTAAACACCCATAAATCCGCAAGTAATCAAAGTTCTTCATTGGCTAAGACATTTCTGAATTCCACAATCCTGTTGGAAAAACTTTGGAATATCACTGACTGGATCAATACCCAGAGGTCTTTCCTCATCTCCACTGCTGTATTGATCTGCTGGATAGTTGTGCATTCATCTATTTATCCAATGTTGGTATTTAGATGCTGTGATATTTCCAGTGCTGTTCTTCTGTTAATTGCTTTTGCATAAGTAAGCATAGAATGCTATTAACACTTACCTAAAATGAGGATATATAATCTGGGATAAACAGAGGGAAAGTTTCTTTACTGTGATGTAAAACATTTATTTTGGTTCTTTCCCCCACCAAGTCCTCTGACTTCAGTTGAAATCAACAACCCTCTCAATGTCATTGCAATGGGTGCTGGAAAATTGGAGACGGGAATTATCTTCCTCCTTCAGACTGGAGTTGGGATCCTTGGAAATTCCTCCCTCCTTTGCTTTTACAACATCTCTTTCTTCATTGGACATAAATTGAGATCCACAGATCTAATTCTCAACCAGTTAGCATTTGCCAACTCCTTGGTCCTTTTCTTCAAAGGGATGCCTCAAACAATAGTGGCCTTTGGATGGAAAGATTTCCTGGATGATGTCGGATGTAAACTAGCCATTTACTGGTGCAGAGTGGGCATGGCTGTTTCCTTGAATACCATCTGCCTCCTGAATGGATTCCAGCTCATTAAGCTCAACCCTGGTATTTGGAGTTGGATGGAGGTCAAGATTAGATCTCTAAAGTTCATTGTCTTCTGCTGTTTCTTGTGCTGGATCTTACATATTGTATTAAATTCATTCATTCCTGTTCTAGTGAGTAGCCCACGGGGTAGACAGAATCTCAGTTTAGAAAGTAATTATAGGTATTGTTTCTGGGAAATGCCAGATCACTATAACCCACTGTATACAGTCCTCCTATATTATTCCCCTGACTTTTGGGGTCTAGCTTTCATAATGTGGGCCAGCATCTCCATGGTCATTTTACTGCACAGACACAAGAAGCAAGTACAATACATTCACAACCAAGCCCTCTCCAAGTCTAGACAAAACCATGAAGCCAGAGCCACATGCACTATCCTGATTTTGGTGACCTCCTTCTTTGCCTTCTATTCAATCTATAATGCTTTGGCCATCTGGACAACATTAACTGTAAAAACCAGTTACTGGACGATGAACAGCTCTGTTTTTTTGAGTACATGTTTCCCAGCATTAAGCCCCTTTGTGATCATCATCAGTGACACCAGAATCTCTAGGTTGTGTTTTGGCTGTTGCCTGAAGACCAAGTGTCTTTTTGATTAGTTCAAGTGCTCTGGCTCTCTTTACTTTCTTTTGTGAAGTCACTTCAATTATTGCTAACATTTAGTTAGCTATTACATAGTAGAATTTTGTGAAGTCAACCAGGGCATATAGGACCAGTAATGTCCCTGCCCACATGGATCTTCTCATAAAGCTATACATTTACATTATTAATTTACATCTAAAGTAATTAATTATCATCGCTGGGTAGTCGTAGTGGAACAAATCAGGGAAATTTTAAATATTGTCGTGGAAGGAAAATTATAAGTTTGGGCAATTAGGAGACATCTATTATTTTGGATTTGATGAAGATATATACAAGTTATATATTGTTTACATATAATTGTGTTAACCTCTTTCTGGCTGTGGGAAAAGCACCTGAAAGATACCGTGTTTAGGAAGATATGTGAAGCTTCCGGATTTTGTTGTGTTTAGGTGTTTAGAGTGCATAAGAAAGAATTCTAGAAAGAATCTATGAGTCTATAAAGGAAGGTGTTGAAAAGTGCTGGGTTAAGCAATTAGGAACAATAAAAAAAAGTATGACTATTTAACGGGATTGCAAGGCTGGTGAATGGGTTCAAACTGTGGGTGACATGAGCAGTTATTTTTGTTTTAAATTCCTTACAGAATATTTACTTTAAAAATATACTCATTTTCATTCCTGATTTTTAATTTTTTATTACGAGTATATATTTGTCTGTTTGTGGGTATATGCAAGTGAGTGCAGTGTCTGTAGAGTCCAGAAGAGGGCCTCAGATTCCCCTGGAGTTGGAGATAGGAGAGGTTGTAAGCTACCCTGTGCTAGTGCTGGGAGTCAAGTTTGTGTTCTCTGAACATAAATAGCTCTCAACTGCTGAACCATCTCTCTTATCCCTTTTATGGTTTGTTTTGTAAATTGATTTCAATTAGTCTCAATTTGTAGCATCTAGTATAAAGTTTTAAATGCTTACAAATTTTTTGGCTATTTTCATCTGGATAACAAATTTCAAAAGAGAAAAGATGGATATTAAAAGATTGAGTTCTTTCCTTTTAGTACACTGATTTGATTTTCATACTCTTCCTTAATCTTGATATTTGAAAATTTCAAATACCTTACACATATTCTTTTGTAAATTAGTTCTTGGAGAATTTCATGCCCATCAAGATGGGTTAAGGTATCTGCTGCCAAACTTAACAACTTGAGTTCCATCCCTGGGACTCACTTGGTGGGAGAGATCCAACTTTCACAGCTGTCACCTGAACCCTGCACATGCATCTATATGGATACACACACACACACACACACACACACACACACACACACACACACACACACGCATGCACGTGCCATAATTGCAATAAAAATGAAAAGAAAACCATTTCTAGGTAGAAGCCAATAAAAGATGGTTCTGAATCAAATGCACACAACTGTTAGTGAGGGCAGGGATGTAGCTGTTTTGTAGAATGCTTCCATAACATGAAGGATCCCTGGGTTCAGTCCCCAGAAGCACATAAAACTGGGTATGGTGATTTACATCTGCAATCCCAGCACCTGGGAAGTGGAGGTGGGAGCATCAGAAGCTCAAGATCTATTGAATACCCAGGGGTCCGGCAGTTTAGCTACATTCAGCATGGGACATCTGAGGGGAAAAAAATCTACTTACACTATGCTCTTATGTCTGTTAACTTTATTCCTCTAAGACAAAATTTTATCAATACAGCTATAGGTCCGTCAGGCATTCAAGGCAGGAATAACTCTAGACATACCAAGCTCTTTATCCATCTACTTTATTTTTCTGGGATGAAATCCTGTCTACATAGCTTCAGTTCTGTCCAGTTCCCTAGCTCATAGTCCTGCTAATGACTAAACTCCTATGCTTCCAGGCTCATCTTCGTCCTCCATTTCCTCATTTTCCCTTTCCACTACTCTCTACTCCTGGCACTCAGAAAACTCTACCCACGATCTGCTTACCCTATATGGAACCTCTGTCTTCCTCTCTTCTCTCTCCCCATGACCCTTTCTACAGAAAATGCCTGCTCTTTCTTTTCCTGGGCATGTGGTTCTCTGCCTCCTCAGGAATGTTGTTCCACCTAACACCTTGATATGTAAAAACCTCTTTTGTTCTCAGTCAATTGCTCTGGAGAGTCACTAGGTCTCAAGGTGAGGAGATGGTCTGAGCTTCATTTGCACAAGAAGCAAAGCTATACCTCTCCAGCCAGCTTATCTCCTAAGCTCAGCAGGGTAGTTAGTAACCTAGAGGTTCAGCAGGTCTGAAAATATTTGGGGATGCAAGAATTTCATAGTAGAAGACAGCTGAAATATTAAAGGCTAGATAGCACCAAATATTCATAATAAATGGCTTGCCTCTTGACAGACCCTTGGTCAAAGTATAGCTTTAATACACAGCTGAATTGCTATGATATTTTCTTGCAGCCCACAAGAAAGATCTCCCTTTACTATGCTGTGCAGAATTGAGGCTTCTCTGGGATACATGAAATCCCATATAAGAACAAAAACCCCAATGGAATTGATTGATTTCTTTGTACTTCTATTGAGTTTCCATTGGGGTTCAGTTTGGTCATACTATGACAGAGAAGACTAAAATTCTCTGTGTAAAAGAAGATAAGAACCAAAATCTTCTTGAGACTGGAAGGCAATGGTTTTGAAAGCTGCTATGAAAAGGTCAAGTATGTGGGAACACAAAGGGAATGGAATGGAAGCACCCCATACAGATGTATTGCCAGTGGCAAGGGTGATGTCATCATGCAGCCACTGGCTTATCCTCCCAGCTGTTTCTTCTTTCTTCCAATGTTAGTTTTTTTCATTCTTCTAGGTCTATCATATTTGATTGTATCAGTGATTTCTTAAAATGTCTCTTTGGGATCACAAGTGGTCTTTTTTATATTAAGAAAAATTTTTTAAAAAAAATATTTATTTATCATGTATACAATGTTCTGCCTCCATGTATGTCTGCAGGCCAGAAGAGGGCACCAGATCTCATTACAGATGGTTGGAAGCCACCATGTGGTTGCTGGGAATTGAACTCAGGACCTCTAGAAGAACAGCCAGTGCTCTTAACCACTGAGCCATCTCTCCAACCCCCAATAAATTTTTTAATTCATTTTACATACCATTCACAGATCACCCCCTCTTCCCTCCTCTCACCCCTCCAGCTACCCCTCCCCTAACCCATCCTCATTCCCTCCCACAAGAAGGTAAGGCCTCCCATGAGGAGTCAGCAGAGCCTAGTACATCAGTAGAGGCAGGTCCAAGCCCCTCCCTCTGCCTCAAGGCTGTGCCAGGTGTCCCACTACAGGTAGTGGGCTCCAAAAAGTCTGTTCATGCATCAGGGATGGATCCTGATACTACTGCCAGGGTGCCCCTTAAGCAGATCAAGCTACACAACTGTCTTGCTTATGCAGAGGTCCTAGTCTAGTCCCATGGAGGCTCCACAGGTGTTGGTCTAAATTTCATGAGTTCCCATTAGTTTGGTTTGGCTGTCTCTGTAGGTTTCTCCATCATGATTTTGATGCCTCTTCCTCATATAATTCCTCTTCTATCTCTTTGACAGGACTCTTGGAGCTTGGCCTGTTGTTTGGCTGTGGATCTCTTCATCTGTTTCCATCAGTTACTGGAGAAAGTTTTTATGATCACAGTTAGAGTATTCACCAATCTGATTACTGGGGTAAACCAGTTCAGGCACCTTCTCCACTGTTGCTAGTAGTCTAAGACAAGTGGTGTTTTCAGTAGCCTCCAATAAAGATAAAGTGAATGCTAACATTGCCCTGCTCACCTTCCCCAGCTCCCTACCTAAGGGATGGGCATTGATGAACTCTGAAGGTCCTTCCAGTTTCTCTTTATTTATAAGCTCTAAGGTCCTTAGTATTTAATTTGTTGAGTTAATCCTTTTTTTGTTATCATCTTTCTGTGGAATCTCTGGTTGAAGCTTGTCAAATATGGATAGTCATTGTTGGTCCCACTTCCACAATTTGGTTCCTGCAGGTAAAGTCCCAACAGCACGGTTTTAAAATTTCATTCATTAAGTATAACACAATTAAAATGGAAGTAGGTATGAAAAAGTTTAATTTTTGCTCAGTAATGTCCAACTAGATATCCCAGAAAGTATACAGAACTAGATCTTGCAATTTTTACTGAATTAAAAATGGGTGATGCGGAGGGAAGAGTGGGTGTGATAACAATGCATGTATTTTTTTATAATTAGAAAAGTTTAATATATTTTGATGTTTCACATTGTACTACTTAAAAGAAAGTTAAATGTCAGACATGCTTCCTAATTCTGTTGCTTAGTTAGCACTGCCATTGTACTTTCAAATGGTTAGAGAGATTGATCTACCAGGTCATCATCAGTCCATTCCTCCCCTTCTTGTTGGGGTTTCTGTGATACATAGTCATGATCTTCTTAGCCTTTCCTCTTCTTCATAACCACATTAAGGGCAAGGTCAGCAGAATGACATCACTCTAATTTCTTTTTCAGAACAGCAACTTCTTCAGACCTGGGTGGCTCATACTTTTTTTTTTTTTTTTTTTTTTACTAGGTTTCTCATGCTATTCATTATATCCAGTAACTGTGACAGGCAAGTTTTATTTTCTCTCAGCATTAGACTCTCTGATAACTTTCCATAGTAATTGCAGCTCTAGAGGCACTTGATAAAATAGCAGTCAGGGCAATTTGTGAAGGTGTGTATAATAGATAAGCATCTGTCAACGCAATTCTTCTAAGAAAATCATCAGCTGTTTTCCTCAAAATCTCTGGATTCTCCAACATGGGGTATCAAATGTTCGATATGGATTGTGGACAATAAGGTGAAAATTAAGCTGCTGTATAAGTAGTAATTCATATTCCAAAATCTGTTCCAGTGCTTTCTCCTGTCCAAGGGGACTCTCTTGAAGATTTCCAGCAAACTGAGGACTAGACACATTGAATTAATCTACTTTGCAGGCCAGAAATGCACAAGTGAGCATTTTTATCTGGGGGTGATATTCCATTACTGAATTATTAAGATAAAAATGCTTGAAATACATACAAGTTGTAACCACAACAGAGAGTGGCATTGCTGGCTTAAACACCAAGCAGAATTCCAATAATCTTTTTTCATAGTATTTGCAAAGTGTCATTTCTTCATAAGGCTCAAAAAACACTGGATCATTTGGAAGAACCTTCCTGTTAGCCACCCCTTTGCACTTGAATTTGTGGTTGGTGTTAGCCCACAGGTGCGCCAGTTGCTCCTTGCCTGCAAAGGTCCAGTGCTGCTTCTGGCTGTTGCTGTGGTATATGGTGTAACCATGGCAGGTTGAAAGGCCCAAGACAACAACAATAATATATAGTGGAATTTCTGAGCAGTCTTATTAAATAAAAAACACAGAGGCAAATATAGGGGTAAAAGCATTAGAGATCAGGGAATTAGGAATAGCCATCAGCTAACCTTACTTCACCATGCCACAGCTTCCAAAGTGAGATACTTCCTGTCTCCCTGCACCTTTATTGCCTTACTGTTCTTCCCTCTCATTGGCTCTTAGCCCAGTTACCTCACTTCCTTGTCACTGCCTGTCTGTACAGACCTTCAGGTCTCTATGGTTGGTACTGGATTAAAGGTATGTGTCACCAAGTTTGGCTCTGTTCCCTAGTATGGCCTTGAACACACAGAGACCCTGACTGCCACGTGATCAGATTAAGGGCATGTGCTACCACTGCCTGATTTGTGTGTTTACTTAAAATGGCTTGCTGTTTCCTCTGATCTCCAGGCAAACTTTATTTGCCCCACATTGGGTGCCAAAATGTAGTTGGAAGTTTTCCTGTGTCCTGGCCGGCCAGTGGTCAGAACAAACCTCTCCCACTTGCATCCCCCAAGTAAACACACAGAGGCTTATATTAATTATATAAGCCATTAGCTCAGACTTATTACTGACTAGCTCTTATACTTAAATTAACCCATAATTCTTATTTATGTTTAGCCACATGGCTTGGTACCTTTTCTCAGTTCTACCTTCACATCTTGCCTTCTCTGTGTCTGGCTGGTGACTCCTGACTCATCCTTCCTCTTCCCAGAATTCTCCTTATCTGCTATCTTGCCTATACTTCCTGTCTGGCTACTGGCCAATCAGGATTTTATTTATCAACCAATCAGAGAAACATATATTCACAGCATACAGAACAACATCCCACAGCAGTGACATGCCAGGAGACTGCAGCCCAGCAAAATGCATATATTGAAGTATGAAATTCTAAAAGAAATTTAAAAGGGGCATGAGACAAGTTTAAGTTAATTTATTATATGTGTTTTCATGTGTTCTTTTTATACTAGACAGTAAGTTGTCTTACTCAAGGATAGGATATATGCCTCATCTCAGTCACTGATGGGTCCTGCTGACTAATATGAGCACAACAGAATAAGTGCTCACAGAAATGGAAGATTGGGGGGGTCTCATTAGCTTCTTGTGGGTTACCACAAGTCTGTTGCAGGTCTTCATTGGGCACATAGACAAGAGTATAGAAAGAGCTGGGAGCTGAGAGAACAAACCTAAGGTTGTCTTATAGCCAATGGAGAACACATCATTCCTACTTTGTGAAAAACTGGAGTCCAATCCCCCCAAGCCTGAGTAGTTGAACCCTCTAGTGAACCAAGATGTTTCTCGGGGCAGTTTCTTCAACTTTATTTTTGAAGGGCTCTAACTGTGTAGCCATGGGTAGCCTGGACTTTGCTATGTGCGCCAGGTTGGCCTTGAACTCACAGAGATCCACCTACTTCTGGGATTAAAGGTGTGAACCACCATGACTTGCTCCTACTTTCTTTTTTAATAACGTGATTTATTTATTTAGTAATGTGCAAATGGAAGTCCGAGGATAATCTTTTGGAGTTGGTTCTCTCCTTCCACCATGTGGGCTCTGGGGCTCAAACTCAGGTTTCCAGGCCTGGCAGCAAGCATCCTTACCAGCTGAGCCGCCTCACTGGCTCCTTCCACTTTCTTGCTGCCAGTTGAGATATGGCCACAGCCAAAGCCGCAGTACCCTAGGACCATTTCTTTAAGCTTCAATTTCCAAACCAGCCTTTGGTTTGGAATAATCATACCTTTGTTACCAGACACTGCTGAGAACTAGAGAGAAATGTTCATGAGGTCTTCAGTGGAGTGCCTAGCAGACATAGGTGCTTGGTGTGTTGTCAACTTTGTCTTATTGCAGTCCTCAAAGTTAATACCATCATCACTCCCATGCCACAAGCAGCAATGTGGGCTGTGGTGGCTTTTGGAAGTTATTTGCAGGCTCACATTGAAGAACGAGAGGCAGGATAGGGATATGATTCAGTGGCAGAGGGTGCTTGCTTGCCTAGGATACACAGGCCCAGGTACAACCCCTTTTATTGCAAAAACCAAAGAAAGGAAACAGGATTGTCAGGGCCTAGGTAGGGCCAAAAGCCTTTTGGGATCCTGGGGATGGAACAAGAAGCCCTGGGCATTGGTTCCCTTTCAGGGTCACACTTGGCAAGGCCAGGAATGGACTGGTGCCAGGGCTCCCAGGGACCTGGAGCTTGACAGTCTCCCTGTAAAACTGTGATCAAATGTTCCAGACACTGAGATATGAAATGCCTTGCTTACTGTACAAGTATGTATCTTGCAAAACAGGAAGTAGGGGGTGCTCTGTGTTCCCCATAATTCTGCTGTTTTCTGCTTTACTTTACTGACTTGTTTTCTGCTTCCTCACTTGAGAGGTATATAAGGAGTGTGATGATCCTCACTTGAGGTATACAAGGAGTGGTGATACTCCCCACTTGAGAAGTATATATGGAGCTGTAGTACTGATGAAATTTCTAGTTTTGGTCATCAGCCCTGGCAGCCCAACTGACCTCAGCTTTTGACTCTTTCCTTTCTCATCCCAGTCCTTTCCCTCAGAATCCCAGTGTAAACCCATTGTATACCCAGGTAGAACTGCTGGTCCAGTATATAGGATTTGAAGATGGACACTGAAGAGGGAAAAATAATATGAGGGATGATCAATTAATAAACAAGACAGG